AACAGGCCATAACAAAGGAATAGATTCACACCACCAATGACATTCGAAAATAAATGCACAGTTGAAATAAATAGAGAATTTAAATATAGGATCAACATGCTCAAAGGATTGTGTTTAGGATCTGTGTGACTTGCCTTGCAATAATCGGTCTTCAATTAATCTTCTGAACACTCCCGACGCACTCACGAACCTTCGCAACGACGGAAACGACAAGCTAACACGCAAAACGAAGAAAAAGACTAATAAAAACCAAATAAACAGTACATATAAAGTAAACAAACATGTAGATCATGATTTTAGATGAATTTAGCAACTTGAACCACTCAAAACCGAGTTACGATGATTTAGTTATGAATTTCCGAAGATTTAATCTATTAGAAAAACAGGAAAAAGAAAAACGATGATGACATCATGATGACCTCATCAATGGCCGGACCAAGATGGCGACCTCGCCGGAGATTGGATGGTCGGCTGCGACTTTGGAGGACATGTACACGTAGAGGACGACGAGACGAACCTAACGGTACTCACCCTCGAACCAAACGACGAACGACGACGGCCGGCGACGGGGCTCCGGTGACCGGCGACAGCGGGGAGAGAGCGGCCGAGCTTGCCCACACCTCGGCGCACCTTACGGCGGTGACGGCGACCGGCGGCGACGACGGAGGCGGCGGCGCGACGCGGATGGAGCTCGGCCGGCGACGACGGCGGGGTGGAGCACGTGGCGGCGGCGCTACGAGGCACGGGAGATCACGGGAGAGGGGGCAAACGAAAGAGGAGGACTAGGGGGTCCTATTTATAGCCTTGGATTGAAGAGATCGGACTCCTCCCGCAAGAAATCGATCCGGGAAATCAAAAACTCGGTTTCGGAGATAAACTCGAAAACGAGTTCGATTCGGATAAGATACTCAACGATTAGCTCCAATTTTTAGGGGTAAATATAGAGGAGGATAAGAGGAATATTTCCCCTCAACTAATTTTAGAAAAACACAAGGGGAAAGGTCAGATTTGGAGGAGAAAAACCGAGCCAAATCGGTCTCAGTTCGGCTGCTAGAGGCAGAAGATAAACAGTGTCGAGGGAGGCAAATTAGACTTTTCGTCTTGGGCTGGCTGAAAACAAAGCAAAGAAAGAAAGAGAAGGGGGGAGCTCGGCTGGGCCGAATTGGGCTGCACGGCCGTGCACACAAAAGAGGGAGATGGGCTGGAAAGGGCCCAAGACTAGGAAGAGGATTATTATTACTTTTCCTATTAAATTAATCAATGAAATGATCTTTGAATTGTTAAAAATACTTCCTATGCTCAAATAATTCCAAGAAAAATCTTGAACATACTTGGACACCCAAAGTATTTAAAAATATTAAAACCAGACCATTTAATGATTAATTTAATATGTGGGTAATTACTGAAATGCTCTTTGTATGATTAAAAATTAGGAATTGAGCTCCGAAAAATCCGAGAATATTCCAGAGAGTATAATTAACCATAGAGAATTTAATAAAAAATTAAATCCATCCATGCTTTATATTTAGGAAATTTTATTTCCCACATTTAACTTCACTTGTAAATTAATGAACATTTAATATAAATTCTAATAATAATTTATTAAATAATTTATAAATCCTGAAACAAAAATCAGGATGTGACAAGAGTTAAGCATTTCTTCGATAGATTCGATCGGTTTTATGCATATGCTATTGCATTCCGCCATTAAAAATTAGGCGGATTAATCGTTTTCATTGTTAGGCGGTAGGGAAGAAACAATCTGGATCTTCAAAACACTTCAATATTACTGCTCTCTTCGTTTAAGTTTATAAAAAAATATAGTAGTATTTTCAATACAAAATAAATATATTATCAAAATATATTTAATTTTAGATTTAATAAAATTAATTTGATATTTAAGATGTAAATTTTACTATAAACTTGGTCAAACTTAATCAAGTTTGACTAGGAAAAAGTCAAACGCCTTATAATATAAAACGGAGGAAGTAGTTGACAGTGAAGATGCTGCAAAGTTTTTTTTTTAAAGAGAAAATATTTAGTGCAGAATGAAGCAATGAAGAAAAAAAAATCTGATTTTTTAGTGGGGACTGAATTTTCCCAGACATTTCATGAGTAAGAATAGGTAGTCCCATGGTAAATATGGTATGCATACATAGATTGTGACTAGCTTTAGGGCTTCTTTGTAATTCATAAGTTTAAAAAGCGCAGTAATAATGAATTTGGGTGGCATTATCCTAAAAATAAGAAAAATATAGGAATTGCTTATTGTGCGATGGTTGGATGTTCCACATGGAAAAAATATAGTAATTTGGAAAGATGATTCCAAGGGAAAAGATTTCAAGATTATGTTAGATTTTCTTCAAAATCACTAAGGGCCCCTTTGAATCGTAAGGTTGAAAACAATGGAGGAATAGGAAAAATACAGGATTTTGATAGAAATTGAAGTGTAAAACAGATGATTGCAAAATATAGAAAAAACACAGGAATGGCCGTTTGATTGGAGCGCAAGAAAAACACAGGAATCAGATGAGAGAGATAGACTCAAAGGAAATTTTCTAAGAGATTGGAGCTCTTGCTATATTTCCTCCAAAATCCACATACAATGCGCCATTTCATAGGAATTGGAAAGCTTCAATCCTTTGAATCAAAGGGCTAAATATGAAAATTTTCTATAAGATTTGAATCCTATTAAATTTCTACGTAAATCTTTTGATTCAAAGGGGCCCTAATTTAGCAATCCCATATGAATTTCATAGGGCTCATTCCTTTGTTCCAAAAGAGAAAAGGAAATCTTCCAAAGGATTTACGTCCTACAAATTTTCTTACAAAGCTTTTGTCGCAAAGAGCACTTATTAATAGTACGGAATAATTACTTCATACTTATATTCAGGACAGAGTAAGTAGCCCACAGTAATAACTTCATTAATATCAAGATTACAGATTAAGTCTTTTTTGCCACCGGTTTTTTCAATTTTGCAAGGATGCCACTCGAATGACAGTTCCAGTGGTATTTTTGCAATTTTCTAGTGGCAGTTTTGCAATAACGATTCAAAGCAGTGGTAAATTTGCAATTGCCCCTTTAAGATACTTATAAAGGTAGAATATGTATGCGCGTTCATAGATATAAGTGTGCCTATATTTTAAGCATTTGCGTTTGTACTATCTTTCTTAATGACTCAACAAATATATAATAAGGAAGAAACCAAAAGGTTGAAACAGAGAAAACTGGAAATCAACTGGAAATCAGATCAGACGGCGCAGGCGGCCCCCTGTCGTCCACGCACGGGCGACCGGGGGCGAAACATAACCCTCGGCTGCTTTGTTGATGGGGTGTGATGAAGCTCGGTAACGATAACACGTTGCAGTCTCTCTCTAGGTGTGTTGGTGCCAACAACAAGCAGGAAGCGGTGATACGATTGCTTTGGCTGATGTTCGCCATGGGAAGTCGGAGCTGCTTGGTCGTTTCTGTGATGAGCTTGGCAACGACGACACAAGTTTGCCGTGAAGTCGGAGCTGCTTTGCTCTGGCAAGCTTGGCAACGATGACTCGTGTTTAGGCTCCGTCGATGGTCTATTTTGAGTGGGTTGTAGCGTTGAGTTGTTGTGCGTGCTGTGAACTTGTTCGGCCGACAACAATAGCGTCCTTTGTTTTCTTTTTCTCGTAACCCGTCTGGGTTTTTACTCCTGCTTATTGAAAGTATAATTGGCAGCCTCTACCTGCCGATTTAGTTTAAAAAAAAAAGAAACCAAAAGGTTTAGTATAGTTTTAGTATTTACTAATTATCTTGTTTTTGGAAAAAAGAAGTTCTAAATTTCCAAAACTTTCAGCGTCAGTCTACTACATTCCCTAATCTACCCATAACTTACAAAACTACCGTGAAATTTTAATGTTCCAGCCAAAACATTTTCTTAAAAAAATTTAAGGTCTCATACAAGTAACAGGCACGGTGATGACAGCGTCGGCAGCGACGTACAGGGCCTTTGGTGCTATTGTGGGCTGCTGGAGGAAGCCCACAATAGAAAAACCGGCCCGTGCTGCTATTATGGGCTGGGCCATGCTGGAGGAGGGAGAGAAAGGCTTTCATCAGCCCAGGCGTCGAGTAGGAATAAACCACTCTCTTTAATATTGGATTGATTTGGAGGATGATTTGGTTTCATATTCGAATTCCAATTTAAAATTTTAATTCATGGGAAATAGACAACTTTAAGGGAGCGTTTTCGGCTTTTCAGATAGACTTTGGTACTAACTCTCCGATAAGCCCGCTAAATTCACAAGCGTTATGTGTAGGCTGCCATCGGTTGGCCAATTAATCAGCGTATTAGCGATAAGAAAATAATTTATAGTTAAAACTTTTACCTATGTGCTCTAAATGACTTAAAATGGTAATGTTGAAATAGAAAATACGATAAAAGAAAACCTTAAAACCAACTCCAAAATTAATTTTTTTAATTTTTTTTTTGACTTTGGCATATACGTTACACTAGCGCTTACTCCCTCCGTTTTATAATATAAGATTTTCTAGCATTACTCACATACATATAAATGTTATAAATGTTAAGGAATCTAAACACATACATATGTCTAGATTCATTAGCATCTAAATGAATGTGGGCAATGTTAGAAAGTCTTATATTGTGAAACGGAGAAAGTAGCTTTTAAGAACACCCTGGACTGTTTCTACGGTCTGCCCTAAAACAAAACCTCAATTATCCAATTAGAGTTTTAACAATTAAGCTTGTCATGATAATAAGGATAGCATGAATGTAATAATCCATCCGTTTCACAATGTAATATTTTCTAGCATTGTTCACATACATATAGATGTTAATGAATCTAAACACATACATATGTCTAGATTCATTAACATCTAAATAAATATGGTTAATGCTAGAAAGTATTACATTGTGAAACGAAGGAAGTATACACTGATGGAAAGTATTGATCTGATTGGAGATACCGATTCTCATTCCTATTGTTAAGGGCTTAATGCTAGTAATTTGTTTGTTCGGTAAATATCGATCTCTTCTTCTTTCTTTGTTAAGTACTATCGATTTTATTTTTTTTGTTTTGTTGAAAAGTAGCAAAATTCCATACCCCAAACCGTCGCAATCCATTCCCAAAACCCATGCCGCCGCCGTCGCCGTCGCTGCGGGATCTCTCCGACGAGCTCGTCGGCGAGATCCTCGTCCGCCTCCCGCCCGACGACCCCGCCTGCCTCCTCCGCGCCTCCCTCGCCTGCAAGGTCTGGCGCCGCATCCTCGCCGACCGCGCACTCCGCCGCCGCCTCCACCGTGCTCCCCCCGTCGTCGGTTTCCTCCGCATCGGCATGGGAGAGGGGGACATGCGCTACGGCTCCCGCTACACCCCCAACAACGGCGCCGCCTCCTCCCGCCGCCCCGCCGCCGCCGGCAGCCGCGACCTCCCGCTGTGGCTCGTCCTCGACTGCCGCCACGGCCGCGCCCTCTTCGCCACGCCATGCCCACGCCGCGCCGCCGCCGCCACCACCAGCCTAGGCCACGACCTCGTCGTCTGGGATCCCTTCACGAACGAGCACCGCCGCCTGCCACGGCCGTCGTCGCCACTCGCAATCACCGGCCGCGGCTTCAACGCCGCGGTGCTCTGCGCCGCCGGCGGCGGCGGGGGTGGTTGCGACCACCGCAGCTGCCATGGCGGCCCATTCCTCGTGGCCCTGATCTGGAGCCACAGCCCTAGCCCGTTCCTCCCGCACCTCCCCGGTGCCACCTCCGCTCGTGTCTACTCCTCCGACACGGGGGAGTGGAGCGACACGACCACCGTCGAACACCATGACGTGTTCTACTACCTCGAGGACAGGTCGCCATTGCCGTGCCGCAGCGTCCTCGTCGGGGACACGCTCTACTTCACCTGGAGCTCCACGCACGCCTTCGAGCTCCGGCTTGGCGGCGGGCAGCGGCGGTTGTCGATCGTCTACGGCCCGCCACGCCCGCCGCCATTGATCGAAAGCAGTTCCCCCATTTTCATGATGTCCATGGGTGACGACGGCGTGCTGCGATGCGTCGAGGTGGAGCCGGAGGACGAGAAATTGTGCCTCCGTCTCCGATTACGCCTGTGGTCGAGGAATGTGGATGACAACGGAGTCGCGCAGTGGATCAGGGGAAGGGCAATTGAGCTCGAGCCGCTACTCCCCGATGGCGCCCTCCAAACTCCATGGATTCCCAGTAGTGTGCAGTTGCTCGGCGCCGTGGAGGGCACCGATGTCATCTTTGTGGGCACACACTCGCCTGATCACCCTGCTGCTGTCTATATGGTCCAACTCAATTCAAGGAGGTCCAGGAAGGTGTTTGACAAATGCACTTCAGTTGTTCCCTACACAAGCTTCTGCATTCCAGGTATATATAGCTAAGTTTCTGCTGCTGATATCTATGTGTGCTACTCCATTGATTATACATCCTTTAGCTAACTAGCTGCTTACATATGTGTGCTGCTATGCTAATTATGTATCTTTTAGCTATGAGTAATTTTACTATTCTTGATAAGGTATTGGGAGATACCACATTTTCTAGTGTAAAAGTTGGTACCTCCAAGTATATGCGGTTATTTCCTCAAGTACCATAAAATTTCTCTTTGGCTATATAATATGATTTGTTACTGTCTACTAGACTGTAAGAAATAGTATGCCAGTTAGTTGCTTTTGGATTAGTATAAGTTGTAAAATTACCATTTTCTCATGTAATTAGCAGATTAGGTGTTGATCGATCACCCTGCTGATGTGATTTTCGTGTATTGTTCCTACTAATACGGCTTAAGTGCAAAGTGTTGATCGATCACCCTGCTGATGTGACTCTCTCTCTCTGCATTTCTGCAGTAACTGATGCAATTTCTTTTCTTTTTCCCTGTATTTTTGAAAGGAATTGATGCTGCTTCTACAAGTGAGGGGGCAAGAGAAGGTGCTTCAAGTGCATGACAATCTCAACTTGCTGTTGCAAGGGCTTCTGAATCAATCAAGCAGAAAGTCTGTCGTTCTGGTGTTCGCAAATTTGTCATCCATACCCCCTCTTAAATCGTCCTTAGGATATGTCAGTTGATTTGTGGTCACACGACTATTTGTGATCGTGATTTTCTGGTGGGATGGCTATTTTCAATTCGTATGATAAATCAGCTTTTGGACAATGTAAATCAGCTGTCACAGCAGGATGATATTTGACTGGTAATCTTGGTTTGGATTCATTTTGCACCTGCTACGCTGGATGTCTCCCTGCATCGATCGACTACCGAGTTCTTCCCACCATGCCGTAAGAATTAGAAAACTACAAACTATCTGATGAATATATCTGTATTGGGTTAACAGAGCAAGGTCATACGTATCTTACCTGGGTTGGTTGCCCTTGATGTCAGGTTGGGCATATATGAACTCTGCAAGTCCCATCGTTGTCCTGAGTAGATTATAAACACTATAGGATCAATTAGCATAATAAAATATTATAATGATGTTCATCGTCGTAGGACTTTTGTTAATTACCATCGCATTGCATTCATATAATCCAACTGTAATAAATCCGATGATAGCAAACCTACTTTTCTTAATTTCCCAAGCGGACATATTAAGCCATTTGCCTGCAAATTCCCCCCCCCCCCCCAAAAAAAAAAGAATCTTAAAATCCTATCCTATTCAGATCTAGAACATGCAAACCCTGGCCACAGCCCCGCCCTTGTCGTCACGGTCGAGGTCGACGGACCCTGCCACTGCCGCACAGAGCCTTGACGGCTTGTTTGGTAACTCGAGGAAAGACGATTGGAAGTTTATATGAGGGAATTGATGATGAGATTAAGATGAGAATTTGATTTTTAATCCCAATATCTTGTTTGGTAGAGATGATGGAAATTGATAGGTAATTTAGTTGGAGATTAGGTCATTAATAAAAACGGATGGCTGAGATTTGCTTACACAAAGTAAAGGAGGAATTCCCTCCCAATTACCTGCACCTACCCAGGTATTGAAAAGGAGGGAGTTCCTTCCTCAATTCCCCATTCCTATCCCACCAAAATTCCCATGTCTCCCAACCAAACAAAACACTTAATAGCCTTATCCCTCTAAACTCTCAATCCCTTCTAAAACTCCCTCCAACTAAACGGGCCGTGAGGCCCTACCTAAGATCGCCAATTGCTATCAACAGATCCACCGTTCCTGTTGCTGTCGCCGGTGAGTCCACCACCCCTAAGCTCCTCGACGCCTCCTGAAGACTGACATCACCGCTTGAAGTCCACCGCCATGCCTCTGGGTGAGGAGGGAGGACTTAATAAAAACAAAAGGAGTGAAAATGAGGCTGTGAAAGATTTTTTATATGCGGATCTCGTAATAGGACCGCTAACAAAAATAAACCTATTTTCGTAGACGGATCTCTTAAGAGGTTCGTTTGCGAAAATGGATTTTCACACACAGGTTTTCTATTGGGCCTTTAGTATATTTGTGCATACAGATGTCTGCCTTAAAAAAATGAGGTGGTGTTCGCAAAAGTCTTTTTAGTAGTGATATATTAAGGCTAACAAATGTACCATTCTCAAATGAGAAAAACATGCCAAATGTGCATCACAAAATCTCCAGGACGAGGTAGTGTTAATTGACCCAGGAAATAAAACAATACTCAGAAGCCAAGGAGACAAAGATTAAGGGTGTGTTTGGTTGCCGGTCACACTTTGCCACAGCTAACGTTACGCAAGTTGTGGCAGCCACAAAAGTGTGGTGGACAAATTACTAGCCACAAAGTATGGCAAAGTTGGTAAGAAAATTGAGTCTATGACATATGGGACATGCTATTGAAAAAGTGTGGCAAGCCACAACTGTGGCAGCGAACCAAACACATGCCTAACAAACTGTGACAGCCACAAGTGTGGTGTGAAAAAGTGTGGCCATGAACCAAACACCCCCTAAGTATATTGTGAATTGAAATTGAAATATTGTAGGAAACATATCTCACATAACTGAGCTGACAAAACTAATGAGGAAAAATATTTGAGATATCAAGGCTGACAAATGCTCAAAAACCTAGTATTTTCCATCGACAATCGAAAACTTTAAGCACACAAAACCTTTGATTCAGTAAGCATCAGGAAATAAAGTTGTATAGACAAAACTATATGTACCAATAAAACTGGGTACAAGTATTAATTGAGGTTGACAATAATCCTACACTCGCCATTGACAAAAACCATAAATAAATGAGTATATCAACTTTAGTCTATATATGCACAACAAAACATTCGAATGAGTAAGCAGTGATGAAATGGGGGATGCTAGAGAAAAACTATTTGAAAAAAGTATGGAGATATTGAGGTAGGCACATAAAACCTTCAGAATGAGTGGGCATTAGAAAAACAAAAGTGCGCATGATAAAATAACTATTCAGAAATCAAAAGAATCTATTAGTCTGACAACAGAGCCATTTGCAATTGACAAAACCATTATAATTGAGCATGACAAAACCCATTACTAATTTGCACAGACAGCATATAGACTCGCCAAAACCTGTTAGTGGAATATAATCTTATTAATATATGACAAGCCAGCAATCTAAAATTCTAATGGAACAACCCGAACAATATGTCATTTAACTAATACAAAAATACTGAAACAGTGAGACCTCAAGCCAATTTGTAGCTACACATAGGTTTTGAAAATCTGGACCGACGATAACTAGAAATACATGTCTGCGTTTGGAAGATCTAGTAAGAAAATGGGTAACTCCTTGTTACAAAGAAAGAATGAAATAAAAAATCTGAGTAAAAGATTAATGTGTATTACTGCTGTACTGTAAAAGGCTGAAAGTTTGAAAAATCACATAAAATTAATTTTAACTCTGATTGAGGTGAACCAAAAATTTCTGGAATCCATGCAATACTATCTCTAATACTGCTAATTCAACTATGATACCACCATCATACAAAATTTTACTAATTCGATAAGAGAGCAATAACTTTCAAATTTGACTGTATTTTAAGCTTTAATCTGAAAATTGAAAATTTCTTTCCTTGATTAATCTAAAATCGATATTTACAGGTTATAGAACTACCCTATGTGTTTTAGAGTTTTTTTGTTTTGTTTTTGGCATTATTTGGTATTAGGTGATTGGATACATGTGACTCAGTGACTCCGGTGCAGAGCATAGTTATCATGCTGTCCCAACACAATGGGAAACCAAATGCATTTCAGAGCAATCAAAGTCCGTCTGGAAAATGTTGTCTAGCTAACTTGCAAATCATGCCAATGATTTATCCATGTCTTGGCTTTCATCCACTTCTGTCACGGAGGTATAATGCAAAAGTTTGGTTTATTGAAAAGGATTACGGACGAAGATGCGGTTAAATAAAACTATATAAGCCGTCCAAAATCAAAACTTGGATGAAGCAAGGGAGATCTCTAACACCTTCCATTGGATGTATTATACCAGCCTTTAACTTTTATTGAGCTTAGCACCATCACAGACTGGGTATTACTTCTCTTTTGATAATTTCTTGTTGATCAGCAATGCCCCCCATCCCCTACACATAATCATCGATTAACTAAGCCATCTAAAAAATGATGGGAAGAACACTTGTAAACTATAAGAAATAAATAATTTGAGGCTTTCCTTCGTTCCTAGCTTGGAGAGGTATATATAACTCCCAACTTTAATTGAGAGGTAAAAACAAAATCAATTGTACTGATTAAGGACATGTTTATCATGACAATGTCAAGATTTTTCTAGTCATTGGGAGGTATATATACTATATTCATAGTGGTAGTCAGGAGATATATACCTCTATCCTAAAGATGTATACCTTTAATTGAATAATACATATATCCGTGCCTTAAAGAATGGAACAAAACCCATAGTACACACATATATAAGAGATGAAATTCCAACCATATTCCAACCTATAAAACTAGTTTTGGTACATCTCTTTATATATGGAGAGGTATATCTGAAGTATGTTGAGGTAATACATATTCAAGGATGAGAAAAATCCTCAAAATATATATGCATATGCCATGTCAAGGTGTTGGTGTACATGATTGATTACAAACGAACATATATACATGAACACTGCACAAGATGGCAATGTGACTTCGTTGGTGTTTTAATTCTGATCCTGAACAGAACCTTTATATTGGCTGTTTTATTCAGTTGGTACAAACAAAAAACGGAGACATGATATATAGTCTATTTCTGTTTCTTCATTAATTGTTAAGCCCTTATGCACGTGCGATGATGCCACAGTAGCCAATTTTGTTAGTTGCTACATGTGTGGAGATGAACTGAAATTTCTTTGCAAACTCTAAACACCGAAGTGCAGAATTAAAAGAAAAACTTGAGCCTAATGAGAAAAAGAAGTGTGAACGTTTATAGGGGAATATGTCTTGTGCTTCATGTTGGGTAGATAAATGCCAAACCTTTGTCAACCATTCACCTATGTTCTCTATATTCATATATTCATATTTCATAGTTGGCTCGAATACCAATAAATTAAATTCCAAATCGGGTATAATATGGTCGATCCAACCAAAATGGCATGTCTGGCTTTATAGCAGGACACTGGCTTGTGTATATGAATCAAACAAGTGTACATTCGATTACGCTTAGGCATAAACCCTAAAACCTGCAAATTAAGCCACATGGAATAACCGGTCACGCACCTCATCTCCGGAGATTGGGTCAAATCCACATAGAGTCGACTACCCTGCATGTTTTACATTGGGTGATAGGGTAGCATATCTGATGTATCATAAAGGGCAATGTCAACCATCTCTGGACAAATATTCAGTGTTATTGGTCACCATACAAAATTCCACTTGATCTTTAAGACCTTTTCTCCGCTGAATTAACAGCTATTCTCTATATGGAACACTTTCAAAATGACATTGACAAATGCATTCTTTCTTCTCGAGTAAAATAATTAAGCTCTTGATATATATATGTCCAGGTGAAGCACATATTCTGGGCAGTCCTTTGGCATACAGTTTAATAAATACATTTTCCCAAAACAATGGAAAAGCAAATGCATTTCAGACAAAACACAATGGAATCTGCTGGCAGCAAAATCCTGCTGAAAGAAGTTGTACCAATCTTGAAAACGAATAAACCATATTGCTACCAAAATTAAATAGAGCAGGGAAATGTTTACATGCATGCTTGGAAATCACCATCTATCAAGGATACTCCTCTCATGATGATAAAAGGGAAAAGTTTTCTTTATTAAAAATAATTACGAAATGTGCGATTAAGTGAAACTGAGTGCCCTCCAAACCGAGCCTTCGATGAAGTGATGATCTACCCCTTGGATTGCATAATTTCAGTCTTGGATTTTCATTGTGCTCAGCAATATGTCAGACTGGGAATGCATTCTTCTCTTCTGATCTTTTGCTGTTTTCAGCATCATTCATCTACACATAATCAGAAACCAACAAATTCATCCTCACATATTTTGATGAGGACTCCAATAAACAATAAGAATGTTTAAATTCTAGAATTTTAGAAAAGATTTTGATTAATATAATTATTTCTTTTGCTGGATTAAAAAATTGATTTTAATTTGGGCTTGGGTGGAAAACACCCTACCACCTGAGAAGCCCGCGATACTGCAATACACCAGTAAACTCAACATTTCAAGAATTTATGTCTGAAAATGTGTTTTGTGTTGATCATGAACACAACCCCTAGAAGATGATTTCAATTTCTCATTTTTCTTCTGTCCATGCCCTCATGATGCTAAAACAGCTAATTTTGTTGCTACCTATGCGTGGAAGCAGATCAACTGAATTTAACTGCATGGAGCAAACATGTCCATTTCCTAGTGCAATTTTCCTTTAGAATTAAAGGCAAACATGTCCACAGTTGATTTGATAACATACCTCAACTCCAGAGATTCGGATGAATCCAGCATAGAGCCCCTAAACCCTGAAATACTGGGGTGGAAAGCTTGCAATTCTAATTCGTTAGTGTTAATATCAACCATTTCCAGATAATAAATAGTTGACTGTGCCTTTTTGATCTTGATGAGTACACGACCTAGGTTCAGATAAGTAAACGCAGTTCCATTGTTGGAGGTGCTTGCTACACCAAAACCTGTATTGAAATTCTTTGACACGAAAAATGCAATGTCCTCGGAATTCTTAGACACATATACTAACATAATACAAAATTTCACTAATTCAATGAGAGAACAGTAACTTTCAAATTTGACTGTATTTTAAGCTTTAATTGGTGAAAACTTTCACAACCTTCTTCCCAAAATTGGAAATTCATTTCCTCCATTAATCTAAAATCTATATTTATTGGTAAGAAGTACCATATGTGTTTTAGAGTTTTATTTTTATTTTTGTTTTATGCATTATTTGGTATTTCGTGATTGGATACATGTGACTTTGGTGTGGAGCATAGGGTGCATTAATACTGTTGTCCCAACACAATGGGAAAACAAATGCATTTCAGAGCAAACATAATGCAATTTAGCAAATCAAAATCCGTCTAAAAATGTTGTCTAGCTAACTTGCAAATCATGCCATTGATTCATCAATGTCTTGGCTTTCATCTACTTTGATCACAGAGATATAATGGAAAAGTTTGGTTTATTAAGAAGGATTGAGGAAGGTGCAGTTAAATAAAACTATATAAGCCGTCCAAAATCAAAACTTGGATGACGCAAGGGAGATCTCTAACATCCCTCCATTTCATGTACTATACCAGTTTTTGATGTCTTATTAAGCTTAGCACACCATCACAGACTGGGAATTACTTCTCTTCTGATAATTTCTTGTTGATCAGTGATGCCCACCTCCCCCCTACACAAAATCATCGATTAACTAAGCCACCTAAAAAAATGATGGAAAAAACACTTGTAAACCATAAGAAATGAATAATATGAGGCTTTCCCTTGTCCCTAGCTTGGAGAGGTCTATAACTCCCAACTAATTGAGAGGTAAAAAATAATCAGTTTTACTCATGTTTATCATGACAATGTCAAGATTTTTCTAGTATTTGAGAGGTATATAATATATTCATAGTGGTAGTCAGGAGATATATACCTCCATCCTAAAGGTGTATACCTCTTGAATAATACAATGCAAATATCCGTGCCTAAAAAAAATGGAACAAAACCCACGGATCACATCTATATATAAAAGATGAAATTCCAATCATATTCCAACCTATAAAATTAGTTTTGGTACATCTCTTTATATATGGAGAGTTATATCTGAAGTATGAGGTTATCCATGCATAGTTAAAGGATGAGAAAAAAAAAACTCAAAATATATATGCATATGCCGTTGTCAAGGTGTTGGTCTACATGATTAATCACAAACGAAAATATAAAAATGAACACTGCACAGGATATCAATGTGACTTCGTCGGTGTGTTAATTCTGGTCCTGATCAAACATGACCTTTAAAGTGGCTGCTTTATTCAGTTGCTACAAACAAACAACGGAGACATGATATATAGATGATTTATGTTTCTTCATTAAACTGTTAAGTCCTTATGCACGTGTGATGATGCCACAGTAGCCAATTTTGTTAGTAGCTACCTGTGTGGAGGTGAACTGAAATTTCTTTGCAAACTCTGAACACCGAAGTGCAGAATTAAAAGAAAAACTTGAGCCTAATGAGAAAAAGCACCGTGAACGTTTATAGGGGAATAAGTGTTGTGCTTCATGTTGGCCAGATAAATGCCAATCCTTTGTCAAGCATTCACTTACGTTCTCTATATTCATCTTTCATAGTCGGCTCACATTAACTACATACAATACGTGAATACCTATAAATTAAATTCCAAATCGGGGGGGGGGGGGGAGGGGTATAATGGTCGATCCATCCAAAATGGCATGTCTGACTTTATGGCTGGCCGCTGGCTTGTGAATATGAATCAAACAAGTGTACATTCGATTACGCTCATGCATAAACCCTAAGACCTGCAAACCACATGGAATAACCGGTCACATACCTCATCTCCGGAGATAGGGTTAAATCCACATAGAATCTCCCCTGCATGTTTTACATTGGGTGATAAAGTAGCATATCTGATGTATCATAAAAGGCAATATCAACAACTATCTCTGGACAAAAATATACAATATTCAATCTTACTGCTCACCATACAAAATTCCACTTGATCTTTGAGACTCTTTCTCCGCTGAATGAACAGCCATTCTCTATATGGAACACATTCAAAATGACATCGACAAAGGACAGTGTGCATTCTTTCTTCTCCAGTAAAATTATTAATTAAGCTCTTGAGATATGCCCAGGTGAAGCACAAATTCTGGGCAGTCCTTGGTATACAGCTCAATCAAAATATGCATTTTTCCAAAACAATGGAAAAGCAAATGCATTTCAGACAAAACACAATGGAATCTGCTAGCAGCAAAATCCTGCTGAAAGAAGTTGTATAGCAATCTTCAAAATTTACAAATCCTATTGGCACCAAAATTAAATAGACCCTGGAAATGTTTACAGGCATGCTTGAAAATCACCATTTGTCTATCAAGGATACTCCTCTCATGATGACAAAAAGGAAAAGTTTGGTTTATTAAAAGGGATTACGAAATGTGCGATTAAAAGAAACTGAGCCCTCCAAACCGAGCCTTGGATGAAGCAGCGATGATCTACCCTTGGATTGCATAATTTCAGTCCTGGACTTTCATTGTGCTCTGTCTCAGACTGCGAATGCATGCTTCTCTTCTGATCTTTCGCTGTTTTCAGCATCACTCACCTACACATAATCAGAAACCAACAAATTAATCCACAAAAATATTTTGATGAGGATTCCTGTAAACAATAAGAATATTTAAATTCTGGAATTTCAGAACAGATTTTGATAAATATAATTATTCTTTTGCTAGATTAAAAAAATGATTTTAATTTGGGCTTGGGCAGAAAACACCCTACCGCCTGAGAAGTCCGTGATACACCAGTAAACTCAATATTTCAGGAATCCTAGAAGATGAATTCTATTTCTACATTTTTCTTCTGTCCACGCTCCCATGATGCTAAAATAGTTGATTTAGTTAAGCAGATCAACTGAATTTAAATTCATGAAGCAAACATATCCATTTCCTATAGAGCAATTTTCCTTTAGAAATAAAGGCAAATATGTCCATATTTGATTTGATAACATACCTCAACTCCAGAGATTCGGACGAATCCAGCATAGAGCCCCTAAACCCTGAATACTGGGGCGGTAAGCTTGCAATGCTGATTCATTAGTGTTAATATCGACCATTTCCAGATAACTATCAACTGTGCATTTTTGATCTTCATGAGTACAGAACCTCGGTTCAGATAAGTAAACACAGCTCCATCTAATGTTGGAGGTGCTTGCTACACCAAAACCAGTGTTGAAGTACTTCGACACGAAAAATGCAATGTCCTCGGAATCTTCAACCTTGGACCACAACGGATTCTCATCGAGGAGGTTACACTTGTAGACCACTATCTCATACCTTGTCCAGGTAGTGACCCGTAAAATGGCGCCGACGAGGTACAACTCGCCATTTATGTCCATGTAGCTACGCTGGCAGATATGTGCCGGCGGAGGCATCAAGAGCAACAGGCTCGCCGTGAGAGGAGCTACACCATCAGTGTTATCGACGCTAAAGATTGAGATCTCTCCGAGGGAGCCAATCGCGACAAACCTGTCCCGGCAGTGCACCACACACGTCACTGGGTACTCGAGCTTCGAATCTACCAGTGTCCATCTGGCGTCCCCGAGCCGGCAGAAGGCGACCAACGTCGAGCTCGCGAGCACGGCCATGGCCATGCAATCGACACCTCTGGAGTTCCTTGGCGACGCAGACAACACGATCTCACGGAAGAAGACATCCCTCATGTTGCTCAACTTGATGGGCTTGGTGGCACCAGAAATGTAGTGCAGAATCCACGCCCCGTCGACCATGGACACCGTCTTGTAGGACGCCATGGCGACGTTCCTGTCGGCCGGCGGGAGCGCGACGGCGGCGCCGGTGAACGGGTTCAGCAGCGTGACGGCCGCGGCGCCGTCCATGAGCGCCAGCCACCCGTGGGACATGCCGCAGGCGACCTTGCCGCGTACCTCGGGGAGGCGCAGGTCGATGGTGGCCTCGTCGTCGTCGTCCATGGCGCAGTAGAAGGTGACCACGGCGGCGTCGCCGTCCGGTGAGTCCGGATCGAAGGGGAGCATCAGCATCGGGTAGAACGTCTCCAGCGGCAGCGCGGCGCACCACGGCGAGCAGACCAGGCGGAAGGAGGCGGCGTCGCGCCCGGACGGCAGCTTCTTGGCGATGAACTCGAGCAGCTTCCGTGGGAGGCCCGAGCTCCAGTCCGGCTCCGATCTCCTCTCAGCAGGCGCAGCCATGGACAAGAACAGTATGATGCCCAAGAAGATGCTGAAAGGGGATTAGATGATGCAGAAAGGGGATTCAGCTCAAACAAACGGATTCAGGAAGATGAAGATCGAAAGGGGATTTGATATGATGATGCAGAAAGGAGATTCAGCTCAAACAAACGGATTCACGTACGAGCAACAATTTGGCTGTGAGAGACTACGCGAGCTGAGGATTTGGGGAGAATTCGATCTCTGCTCCGATGAAACCGAGGAATTATGTTAGGAGCAAGAGAGGAACTCGATCGGTGAAAAGAGTCAGCAAAAGTAATAATGGCAAAAGATCTGTGAGCGTTTTGTGGGAAGAAATTTGTCTTTTCTCCCATTTTTTGTCTTTGCTTTTTGATTCTTCATCGCATGCTCTGAGGGGTGAGGTGCGTGAGCCTGCTGCTGAATCACCGGCGCGCGTACGTAGCCAGTTAGTAAAGGAGTTTACGTAAGTGATGTTCCGAACTTCCGATGGTTCCATGATGACACGAATAAACCACCAGATTCACTACAAAACATATTGATGAGGATTATTAGATTTTTTATCAACTGCCTCGTTTACTGTAAACCTATAAACGGTGTGATTTCTTAAAAGAAAACTTTTATATAAAAGTTTTTTTAAAAAATTCAAATATAAACCTATTTTTTTAAGTTTATAAAAATTAATACTTAATTAGTTATTTTCTAGTGATTCGTCTCGTTTTGCATATGGTCATTTAGCTAACCGAACATGCTACTTCGAACAAGCCCTAAGTAACAAGCAAGAGCATATCTCCGGGCACATTTATGGCACCACATAGCTAGAGTGACGATGTAGCTAGAGTGATGTGATAAGTATTTTTTTTGAACGACTCGTACGAGACGGTGCGAAGTTCTATTGATAGAGCAGGAAAAAATTACAAGATTACAACCCTGGCGGATCGTAACCAGGAAAAATGAAAAAATATAGCACCACCCGCACACCGACAGCGCCAACACACAACCCGGGAGAAGGCTAGCACCGAACCGACTGCCGCTAGACCAACAAAGGAACACAGACAACATTGCCCCCTAGGGGATGCCAAAACGACGTCTTCAAGAAGAGAAGCGACGGAAAAACCGTTGCTGCCGTCCGTCGGGGCTCAAAGGAGCCAAGACTGGGCTTTCGCCCGGCAACCACTCTTGAGGGGTGAGACAGCACGACAACGCCCTCAAGAGGGGGAATGAACAATCGTTGTCGGTCCAGCTAAGGCCAGGCTAGGTTTTCACCCGCCGCTCACCACCTGCGAATCCATGGCTGACGCACCGATGCTCCACCACCACTCAAGCTCTGCCGACATGTGGGACCCCAGCACCAGCGTCCCCTGCCGGCCAGGCTCCGTGCGCCGAAGATCATGCCACATCCACCGGTAGCTCCTCCTCACACCGAGGTCGCCTCCTCCACCGTCGGCCGCGCCTCTCGCGCCAAGCCGGTCTCCTCCACCGGATGCGTCTCTCGCGCCAATCCGGCCTCTCTCCATCGGCTACGTCTCTCGCGCCAACCCAGCCTCCATCTCTGCCGCCTGCGCCTCTCGCGCCGAGCCAGTCTCCGACCCCTCCTCCAAATGATGCCACGCCAGCCAGAAGCAGCCGTTTGCCACGCCCTCAGCTAGCCGTCCGAAGCCGCCATGCCTCCGGTGACCGTGGTCACCGCCACCGCAGCCACCGCTGCCGAACGCCCAGCTACCTCGCCGTCGCCATCCTCACCTCCTCCGCCACAGCCACGTCCACGGTCGCCACATTCATCGCCACAAGCCGTCCGCCGTCCGCCGTCGCAGCTTGCAGCCACCAGCACCTGCTGTCGCCGCCTGCGAGCTCCGTGTTGCCGACCGCGACTCCACACCGCCGCCCTCCACGACGCCTGCACGGCAGGCCTCGCCACCCAAGAGGCTGCACGACCGCCTCCACGACGCCTCGACCACCACGGCCGCTGCCTCGCCAGCCAGCCGCCGCAGTCGATGTCGCCACAACCGCCGCCGCCGTCATTGCCGCCGTCGGCAGCCGCAACCGCCGCCAGCCAGATTTGGTTAGAGGCGTCGTTGCCTCCTCCCGCATCACCGACGTCACCACCGGCTCTCTCGGCACCTCCACCGCTGCACCCGTCGTCTGGCCGCGCCGCCGTGCTCGGGTACTGGAGCCAGCTCCGGCAGCGTCTCCCGCCAGGTCGACCACCCAAACCCACCGCCAAACCTCGCCGCCGAGCTACCAGGACGCCGCCGCCCGTCGCTGGGGGACCGGATCCGGGCACCACGGCACTGGATCTGGACGCCGCCGGTCGGCGCCGACGCCATGCCCTGAGCTCCTGCCGTGCCGATGTCCCGACCGTCTTGACCGCGAGCGAGGGAGAGAGAGCCCCGCCACCGCCGTACTTGCAGCCGCCTGGCTTTGCCGGCGGCGGCTCGGGCGGCGGCGAGGCTGGGAGGGGGGGGGAAGAGAAGGGCGGGGACGGCGCGGCTTGTTCGCCGCCCGCGTCGCCCCCGGACAGAGCGACCGGGCAGCACTGAGCAAGTGTGTCAGTTTATGCGATAAGTATGGACAAAATTGTTTTGTTTATATGGGAAAGGAGCTTTGAACTTTTTGCTGTGTGGCAAGTTTGTATCTTGTTGTTTCGCTAGCAAAACATGTGTCTCGCAATCATACTTTATGTACTCATACTTAACTTGCTGCATGTGTCTTAGCGGACGAGTCCATGTTTGAGAATTAGTGGATCTGGTGGATCCATGCATGATTTATACTGCAAACCAGGCTCCATAGATAGTTGGTTTTTGATAACTATTCATGGGCACAAACAAATAAACTAACTGTTATAAGATAGAAAAATGTATTTAAATAAGTTTTCTAAGAAATTCATATACGGGAAGTTCTTTTTGTTTTTTTTTTTTTGAAAATTGCTGAATTGAATGGTTCTATTCCTTTAGATATTCGAATATGGAAGGTTTTTGTAACTATAGTTTGCAAAAGAACAAACCATGTTGGTATACCATGACTAAAAGAATACAACTTTTAAAAGTTCAGTATTTGTGATGGTTTGTCTTTTACCCATACTTTTCACAAAAAAATTGGTTAATTTTTTTTGATAAATTTGATAATGGTGATGTCAAAAAGTAAATATATACACTTGTCTGATAGCATGTATATTGTACAACTCATGTTTATCGATGGCATTTTGTATGAGCAAGTGTTGATAACACTTTGTATATTTTCTCTATATCACTAAAAACACAGGTGGCTGCATCATTTGTGAGAAGTCTTTGTCTTTTTTTCCTCATTATTTCCGTTTGATTTTTCATACTTCATAAGACATGCTGCAGTGGTGAGGTGAGCCTTCAGAATCAGCGGCGTAGCCAGTTCTTAAAGAATTGTAACTGATGTTTCGATGGTTGTCCATAATGACACATCTGGTTGATCTCGGATTATGTGATTAAACCACTACATTCAATACAAAAGATTTGAAGTATTACTACATTAAGTGTTGTGCAAGATGCATATCTCGGAGGATGCAGGCACTAAAAACAACCCCATGTAAAAACATTTTCTTTAAATATAGTACAAATGCAGGCATTTATAATACGCGTACACTCACCTTTATGAAAAAACACTATACCCATATGGGCCAGCGTATCTTAAGGTACAGATAAAGTTAACATAGGCATCTCGCTGTCGACGGGTCGCCTACCACCAAAAGAATAATTAGCTGTAAATGCGAGCACCTGTGTCAAATCTAAGACTTAAACCTAGGTGGACTGGTTCCGTCACAAGAAACTTAACCAGTTAAGCTACGCTTCACCATGAAGATACATATTTATTTTTGGCAATTTTCATATCATCTATTTTTGTTTTTGACAATTTTCATATTGCCTCTAAAATTACGAGTTACAATGTGCAGAGACACTTAGTACAAACAATTTAAAATTTACATATAATATTTTTACTCTATATATACTTTAGAGATATTTTTAGCATATTTTATTAACTTTATCTTATAGAGGCATCTTTTATGCCTAATATATAAAAGGTATTTTCTTGAGACATTTCAACCAATGTAGAGACACTTTTGAGGATGTTTATATGACCAATGCAAACACTTACTTTTGAGAGGATGTTTATATGACCAATGCAAACACTTTTGATTGATTCCTTTTAATCAGCCTTGGCTCCCCTATGTTTAAGGGAGGGGCGATACACTAGAACGGATACCCTCATCTCAATCGGGCGGTAAGCCCCATCTCAATCGGGCACAACGTCCGTCACAGGCTAGAAGTCATTGATGTGAAGAGTTATCTCAATCGGGCAAACGGCCGTCACGGATGAATCTATCTCAATCGGGCCCTAAGTAAAGCCCGTCACCGATAGCTTTGACCCATACGACCAGTCAAACTATAGCCCGTCACAGATGACCTATCTCAATCGGGCCACAATTAGTGCTCGTCACAGATGACTACTAACCTTTATCGGGCCTAAACTAGAGCCCGTCACAGATGATACTCATCTCAATCGGGCCTAAACTAGAGCCCGTCACAGATGACTACTGACCTCAATCGGGCCTAAACTAGAGCCCATCACAGATGACTATTGACCTCAATCGGGCCTAAACTAGAGCCCGTCACAGATGACTACTGACCTCAATCGGGCGTAAACTAGAGCCCGTCACAGATGACTATCATCTCAATCGGGCATTTAGTTATGGCCCGTCACAGATGACTATAATCCATAAAAAAAATAAATTTTGTTTTTTGGCTAGCCTCAGGCCTTTGCTAGCCATGCCCACTGCAGAAATGACAGAAACAAACACAGATATCCAATATCCCCAGCTCCCCAGCATCACCCATTCATATACATATGCATTCACATACACAGACATCAATATATTTTACACAACCACACATTCACAGCCATCTCATATTTCACATCTATTCACATATTTCACATCCATTCAAATATTTATCATATTTCACCTGCAAAACCAAGTTAATTGGATCAAATATTTATTTAGCAAGTCTTAACATAAACATATGAAATATATACATAAATATAAGCATCACAGTTACATCATCACAGTTGCATAATAAGTGTTCATCATTGCCTAAACATATAAGTTCAACATTGTTCATCATTTTAGTTTAAGCCTAAACATTCCTTTGGTGTTAATTATTTCGCGGAGGATGAAGCTGGCTATCTCCTCGCGAACCTCCTCAAAGCTGGTAGGCAGAGACTTGGTTATTGTACCCTACATTATCATAATTCTAGATTAGTTGATCGATCATATATAAGTACTAAAATGTAGTTAGTCTATCAGAATTGAGACCACCGACCTCAAACTCAGCCAAAGTCTTCACC